GTCGTAGGCACTACAGGAGTTCTTGGTCAGAAAACCTTCAGTCAACCGTATGCTTCATCTCTAATTTGTTATGCAACTTGTCCTATTACTTTAAGCTAAAACTTAATAACTTTACAAGTGTTCTTTACCACATTGGAGTCATAAATATGTGCATTTGATAAGTACAAAGAGGTATATTTTACCTGCAATTAAAATTTGATAAGCACATCATGTCTATGGCTAGTGTGACTGTGTGCTTAACTGGTGATGCATGGATATATCATCAAAAATGGGTATCTTGTTCATGTTTTACACAAAATTTGAAAAATCAAGGTGGTTTGTCTAACTTGGATGCCACCATAATCACCGAATGCAAAATCTTAAAAAGGTTACATATAAATTGGAATTTTCCTCATTGTAAAATTATCAAGCAAAGGAAGCAGACTTATTTATGTACCACCAAAAATATGATTGACCAACTTCCTTGTAAAGTTAATGGAGTGATTACATTGGTGGTAGACGTACTAATTTCCATGTTTAAAACTAAGAATGCAAGAGATTCTTCTATCATCTATGCCATACTTTGAGACATAAGAAAGATTCTTCTATGTTCTTTCCACTGATTTTATGTCAAATTACATGTATCTCAGGTCTGCCACTCAGAGCAGTGTGGCATTGCAGCCAGCACCTAATGTGAGTCCTTTTGGAGCTTTACCTGCAATGCCTCCGCTGTCAATTGGTCGCCCTGGATCGATACCCTCGATACAGTATGGAATTTCTAGCATACCTGTACGTCTTACACTTCTGAATCTTTATTACTGGATTCAACAGAATGCTTTTTGTGAGGATGTAATGTAATTTTACTTTCTTAATTATCAATTGTGGACAATAGAAGTTTTGCACCTTTTGGCGATTTTAATGAATATTTTCTCTATCAATTTTTTTCTTCTCAATTTTGAATTATGGACAACAGATGTTAAATATCCAAAAAAATAATGTGGACATATGAATGAGTGTTAAATTTTGACGAGGTTATACAGCACTATTCAATTATGAATCATCCTACAATCAAAGCATGGCATTTGTCCATGCTTTTTGCAAATTTATGTATACAGAAAGGTGGTTATACTTGTATGCATCCAAACATACCATCTTCTATGAACTTTCTAGTCACAGTTGTTTACGTTGTAAATGATTTTTGTGCATGATAAAACATTCATTCTTCATAACAGGTGCTTGATAAGCCAGCTGCTCCTGTCAGAATGCCGTATTTGCTGACATCTCGGCACTTGTCTCAAAGTCGGGTTAGGTTACCAGCTCGGAAATATGATCCTAAAAGTGATGGCCCAAAGGTGACTATTATTAAAAACACTCGTTGTGTTTTATTTAGAACACAATATCTATTTCTTCCCCTCTTCACACACATACACATGTTCAGCCAAACCATGGAGATCTTTTACATTAATGCTTTTGTTGGCTAAATGATATATGTAGGTACCATTTTTTCAGAAATGACGAAGAAATGACTACTACACCCAAGACAGATGCTCTGTTTGTTTCGAGGGAGAATCCAAGAGCTACAGCTACGTCGAACACAGAGAAAAGGTTTTCCCTGGTTTCTTCATGTACATAAGAATGGTGAGTGCTGCTTTCTTATACAAAGCATGATAACATACTTTTTTTGGCACAAATTTGTCATTTTCCAGCTCCTCCTCTTGATTGGTATTATATTGAAGTAACACTAGATGTACAATTTACATCTCCAAAATAGAAGCTTCTTACTATCTCATCAGTTATCCAAATCTACCTATTTTCATCACTGCTTTATCAATTATGTCACTTTGGCATATACAAATATGTACTTATCATATTAGCAATCTTGCCATATATATAGTTATAGCTAAGGTATAAATCTGCTTAAATCTTGATATTTGTTAGTTTTAATTATCTTTCAGGTTAAAGTTTTGCATATCTAGGAGTTGAATATTCAATGGAGGGGAAGGGATATACTAAACTGTCTTGTGTAGGCATGATTTCTCTTCTTATTACACATGATTCTAGATACACTAGTGGCTTAATGTGTTAAATTTTATTTATTTATTTCTTGTGTGTATCACAGTTTCTGTTTTTATGCTGCATCATGGGTTTTATTTTTCTTTGGGAAACGAGCACAACGTACCATCTTTAAAATTTTCAAATGATGCTATTGCCATTTAGGTAAAATCTCTGCAAAGGTGTTTGCACCTGCTTTGTTAAATGGTTCCATATGTCAGGATGAAGATGGTAAGTACTTGTTAGCCATTTAATGCACAAATTACTGTTTTCCCATTTATGCATTCTCTCTCTCACTCTCTCTCTCTCTCTCTCTCTCTCTCACACACACACACACATTTAGAATGTTTCATGTGAGTGGTACTATAGTTATTTATTTATTTATTTTTCTTTCTTTGTAATCTGATGTTTTCATTTAGTACATTCCACACAATGGTATTGGGTTTTGCTAATTTTTATCTTCGTTCCAACAATATTGCAGATCGTTTAGCTGAAAATAGCTCTAACAAGGAGGGTTCTAGTTCTCTCAACTCCAATTACAAGCCTAATGGTGCACATAATTATAATGTCTCCCATAAAGGATCCTCCTTGCATATTAAAACCACAAGGTGCAAAGCTAGTGAGGCTACAATCCTGAAAGAACATGTGGCTAATGTTGAACCATTAATGCCACAACTTGCATGCTCTGAGTACCACACAAAACCTCAAATTCTGGAGTTGGCAGTGAAGGGAAGGGCTGAGCCCGGATTCTGCTCTCATGTGAAGGATTTCGTGGTTGGACGTCACGGCTATGGCAACATCAAGTTTTTGGGAGAGACAGATGTTAGAAAGTTTGATCTTGATTCGCTTGTACAGTTTAATACCTGTGAAGTGGTTATCTATATGGATGAGAAAAAGAAACCCCCGGTGGGGCAAGGTCTCAACAAGGCTGCAGAGGTCACCCTTTATAATGGCAAATGTATCGACAAGAAGACGGGGAAAGAGCACATAAATGGACCGAACGTTGATAAGTACAGAGGGATGCTAATCAAGAAGGCAACAAAACAAGGTGCCGAGTTTGTGTCTTATGACCCTGTAGAAGAGGAGTGGAAATTCTGGGTCAAGCACTTCAGCCAATACAAATTTTGAGATGACAGTGAACGGGACAAGGGTTAGTTTTGAGTCTTTTTGACATTGAATTTTTTCTGATTACTGATGCAAGATGATAATTTTTTCAGTTTGATGATGATATAGATTTGCAGAGAAGGCTATGGTGTTGTTTTGTTTTGGTATAGTAGCATGGTCCTGTTTTCTATATTTGTTTTAGAGTATGCACTTGATACTTTGGGTCTGTAAATTGCTATAGTTCAATGGGTAAATTACCTAGCATTTAGTTGGTTTCTTTATGTTTTGGCCATGGCATTTAGTCGTTTGCTGTTGCTATTTTCATATTGTATTTTATTTTATTTTAATGAAATTTCCAGAATTAGAACACACCCACCTACCAATAAAAAAAAAACATAAAAAAATATGTTGTGTTTATTTTAAACATGAACTGAGTTACACTTGAAATAATATCTTAACAGACTCTCTAATCTAAATCGGATTGGAGAGAGTTGTCAGGCTTCCGTGGGCTCACCACGGAGCCCGCATCAATAATTCGGATCGTTCGATGTATAAAACTTGTCGAGTACTTTATTCTTGTAAAAAATCACATTAATTGGATATTGATAGTCACTTGCCATATCACATTCCTAGTAACGGTAAATATAATTTTAAAAATAAATTCTTGACATAAATTTAATATTATCAAATGGCTATCGATATCTGATTAAAGAGATATTTTCTAGGGATGAAATACTTGACAAGTTCTACATATTGAACGGTTAGATTATCTATGCAACACTTGTGGTGGACCCACATAGGCCTAACAACACCCTCCAGTTGGGCCTAACTGGAGATCTGAACCATACAATGAATTTTATGTGCTCTTTCTATGAGCATTATTGTTAGTATTTTATTTACATATTTATTATTGTTATTATTTCATCATTTTGTTTTTATTTTTTATTTTTTGGTGGAATCGACTACCAGTTACTAAAAGATCCCTTACTTTATTTCTTCTTATCTTTTTTTTTTTTTTTTAATTTCCGTTCACAAAGTCATAACCTACAATAAATTCAATTTATGATAATTGTAATGTAATAGCTACAAAAACTCAAACACAGTAGTTTACTCAGAACATATTGTCAGTTTTCGTGATTACATGTATTGAACTATTACAGAAGATTGGAATTCATTTAAACTCCCCTTATGTTGAAGTGTTTTTTTCAATTTGTTCGAGTGGAAAATATTTTTTTTAATATTTTTTTTTCCCATTTTCTTGTTGTCAAATGGAAAAACAAGTCTATTTGGTATAAAATATTTTTTTTTTTTCAAGTATTTAAGAGTGGGTGAGAATATTTTTTCCCGAACTATATTCACACTGCTACAAACCCACAAATTCAACTGCCGACCATCGTCGGCCCTAGCGCACTCACTGCCGTAACATTTCACCGCCACGACCATCTCTCCTCTTACTGAACCCAACCGCTGTAGACGTCCCCGAACGTCCTCGGAACGTGGAATACAAGACAATTAGAATAAGTAAACAGCTCTTATTTGCAACTCCAACCAGTGCCCGGTTTGTTTATTTTGGTTACTACAGTTCTAGGACTCAAAGTCACGGTCCTGTACTAATCTCGCATAGTGCAATGCATAGACCAATGAATATCATCAAAGAGTCCCAATCCGGCAAAATCGTTTTTGAAAATTCAGGATATTTATTTGAAAGAAAAGTGCCAAAACAATATGATGACTTATGACCAGAAACAGAAGATCGCCACCTAATATATTTCATCTTTTTTGGGGTAGAATATCTAGGAAACCCTGGACTCCTCCTTTTATCCTTCGTTGCGCAAATCTAAGTCAGTCCAGTGTCCGTCTTTACAAGGAATAGTTTCCACGCAAGAGTTGCCTCGGCTCGGGAACTGTTGGGTATCGTAGTACCTTCCGTTCCTGACCTTCTACCGATTTGGGGAGCGGTCACCTTCGTGAGCCACCCGCCCCGCTCCGCTCGTCAAGAATGAGTCTGGCCTCTACTAGAAACCATTGATATTCCTGAGTTTTGAAAAATCATATTTATGTAAGAACATATCTTAGATTCCGTTATTAGAGATCGTTCTTACTAGAAAACAATTTTCTAATATGTGATTGCGCCCAAGCACAAAAGGTATCATAGTACTTTGATTCTCCTAATATTTTATTTTTTTTATGGTTTGGAAAAAAATTAATAAGCACAAAAAACAGAAGTCATTCATCTGCCTTCTGCTCATTGCTGTATATGAAGAACATTTGCAATTTTGTTCTTTTTACTTTTTGGCATCAAGTATTTTTGGGCCCTAGCCCGCGAATAACCGGATTTCAACGAGTTGTTAACTCAGACAAATCAACCTTCACGGCACAGGCTTGCAGCGGCAGTTAGAATAAGGAGCGGCATGAGTCAACTATAGACATAGCCACATGGTAAGCATGTTGTCCCCATGTTTTTTAACAAATTCACATTCAATGCGAGATGGCTAAAGCACAATACTATAGTGTACTCCAAGCCAAAACAAAGATTTGTTAGTATAATCAAATGTAATGATCCAAGTCCATGTTGAAATGGCTATGCATGCATGC